ATATTACAATACAGTCCAAAAATAATGGGTACCAAAACATTTAAAAAATAAGGAAATTTTCTTGTAAGACACCAAAATGAATGCTTTGAGTACTTTAATATATATTTATTCTCACAACTTTTAAATGTAATAGGCGAAATACTGGACATATCCAACATGAATACAAGCAATCTCAATACAATGTACAGTACATTTTGAAGGAACAGCTTCAGAATGATCATGGCAAAGAAAATTAAAGAGAAAAACGAATATAGAATGTATTAATTCTAGATCACCCCATGAGTGATAAGCGAATTCCTTATTAACATGTAATTGACATGTTTATAATTGAATAGATTATTTTAGAACATAAAATATTAATTTACTCGTTATGAGAAAATTAATTCACAAATTAAAAATCATTCACAACAATGCATGAATAATTTGATCATTGCCAATATATAATTTAATACTTAATTTACTACATTTTTATTTCGAAGTTACTTAATCATTATAAAATCAAAATTATCAGATATTTATGTTGTTCAGCACTTGCAGCTTGAGTAAATAACAATTTACAAGTAACGAAAAGGACAGTGTGTACAACTCTGAGGCACATTAAACAATTTTTCTCTCAGACCGAAAACAAATTCCTGCAGCATTCTAAGAAGCTTGAGCAGTATCGCGCTGATGCAGTTGGTAGTACAGTCCCCGCCTTGCCAACAATTGCGAGTGAGTTCCCATTTCCGCAATCTTCCCATGATTGACCACGCAAATGACGTCCGCTTGTTGCACCGTTGCTAAGCGATGGGCGATCACAATACACGTCCGACCCTGTTGAGCTTCATCCAAGGCCTTTTGCACCACCTGCAAATACACGTACAGATTCCACTGTAATAGGAAGTGGTATGCTTATGTTTTATCACTTCAAAAGACATAGCGTATAATCTACGTTCACTATGTGATCAAAAGTATCCGGGCACGCCCATAATGGTGTTATGGTGTGGTCGTGTTTTTATGGAGGGGGTACCCCTTGTTGTTTTGTGTGGCACTATCACGGCATAGGCCTACGTTGGTGTTCTAAACACCTTCTTGCTTCCCACTGTTGAAGAACAATTCAGGGATGGCGATTATATATTTCAACACGATCGAGCACATGTTCATACTACACGGTCTGTGGCGGATTAGTTATACGATAATAACATCCCTGCAATGGACTGGCCTGCACAGAGTCCTGATTTGAATCCTATCAACACCTTTTGGATTTTTGGAACGCCGTATTCGTGCCAGGCCTCACCGACCTACTACATCGATACCTTTCCTCAGTGCAGCACGCCGTGAAGAATGGGCTGCTATTCCCCAAGGAACCTTCCAGCACCTGATTGAAAGTACGCCTGCGAGAGTGGAAGCTGTCATCAAGGCTGAAGGTGAGCCAATACCCTCAAGAATTCCAGCATTACTGATGGAGGACGCCACGAACTGGAAAGTCATTTTCAGCCACGTGTCCGTGTACTTTTGATCAAATAGTGGACATTTAAAACATTAAGGGGTTTCGTTTAAAAAGAAGTTTGATCTTTTCCTCGACCATAATTCCTGATTTTTGCTATACATGAACGATAAAGGGTCCTATTTGTGTTATCACTTGTTTTCTTGTTTACCTGGAATACAGCAAAAAGCCACATTTTATTATCAGATTACTAGAGTGAACGCTTTTCTTCATTACGGCGTTTTCAAGACATTCATAACATTCCGTGCAAATTTTTCATGGTTTTTGCATTTACGAGTTGCAATACACCCATCAAAATCATTTAATGTTTCGCAGCTTGTTTTTGAAAGATTAGATAGAAAGAAAGAAGCAGGTTTACCTTCTCGCTCTGGCTGTCCAGCGCCGACGTGGCCTCGTCAAGCAGCAGGATGCGCGGGTTGCGCACCAGGGCGCGCGCGATGGCGATGCGCTGCTTCTGCCCGCCCGACAGCTGCGTGCCCTTCGCGCCCAGCCGCGTCTCGTACCCCTGCGCACACGCGCCTCAGCACGTTTACAAAGGCTCGCGCGCCAAACCCGAGCACGTTAGCGCTCTTCAGTTGTGCCTTGGGGCATACAACGATCTCGAGAAGAATCAGCATTCTGCTGAGAGAATTCTTTCAAAATAATGCGAAATGGATGAATGCGGAATGGATGATTAAATGAAGTTGCGGAAGTGAAAGGCTGATCAAATTCCTGGTGCGGTAGTCTAGTGGCTGTAGCATTGCCCATTCGAAAATCAGGAATGCTTCCCTGATATGTGGTCCCCCAAAGGAGAACAATAAAAGTGCGGGATACCGTTGACAGACTTGTCCCAACTTACTTCCTCTTGTAGCGGAAAATGTTCCCCAAGGTGCGAGTTCAAAGAACTTTAAACGCCATAAAATGAGAGAATTTATGTAAGGAAAGGTAACCCCTAATGGAACGTCATGGAGAAGCGAAAATATCATATGACCCCCAAAATAAAGCATGTTCTCTAGGGGGAGAGCAAGCATATCAACAACTTCAACGAAAATGTTCTTTCCGAAGGTAAAACATCCTGGAGGTTCCGAAACCTGCAGGCAGGATCGTCAATTGGATCGTCATCGAAGAAATCGTGATGGGCCGACAAACTACAGTGCATAACAGACTTGTTACAATGTTGTAGAAAATTCATGAATTGAATAGAAAATACTCTTAATATTTTTATTGAATTATTTATTACGGATGCATAATGAAAAAGTAAAAAAAGATTGTAACAACTCCGTAATTTATAAAATGAAGCAAAAAATTATCGCAAAATTCACCTTATAATGTGAAGATCATTCTATTCACGTGAAAAGTTCGTGTTTGTAGACATGAATAAATTCCCTTATTCCTAGTCTGGTAATACTTTTATTCCTTCATAGTGGCCGTTATTAGCAATATTTAATTTGAGAATTAGTGTGTTTCGCGATGGGAAAGAGTAAAGAACGTAGCAATGACATAAAGGAAAACTTCGTAACTCTTAGTTTACGAGGCTATTCTCTGAGAGTAATTGCACGCAGAGCGAACAACCCCCATTTTATAGACAACTACGCGTTAAATAAGTAAGATACAAAGGTTCAACAATGAACCTACCCAGAAAATCCACGAGAAGAAGCTCAATGACTGGGACGAACGTCTCATAATTCAACAGGTGAGGTAAACCACAACATAAAATGCTCCCAACATTCGCAAAATGATTAAACAAGTCACGCAAAATAAACCATCAAACCAGATAATTCGTTGAGTACTGTGGAAATACGGCTATCATCGCAGAAGAACACGAAAGAACCCATTCATAGAAAAACCGTCTTGCCAGAATTAAATTCTGCAGAGAACACGAATATAAAGTTTCCATGTTCAGGAATAATGTTATTTGATCGAATGGAACGAAAATAACTCTTTATGGTTTTCATGTATGCCGAACGGTATGGAGAAAGAGTAATACGATCAAAGAAACTTGCAATACTGTGCCTGCTGTGAAAAATAGAGAAGATTCTGTGATGTTTTGGGAGTGCATGTCGGCTAATGAGGTTGGAACTTTGCAGATCATCAACGGTATTATGAACAAGTGGGGATTCTTAAATGTCATGAAGAAAAATTTTACACATAGTGTAGAAAAATTCAATTAGCACCAAGGTATATTTTTCAACAAGATAATGACTGCTTATATCTGCAAACAGTGGCTTAAAGTGCCCAAACAATTGCGAACTCTCCTTCAATCTCCTGATCAGAACCCAAACGATCATGTAGGAGTTGATTAAAAAAAAGTTTAATGTTTAGTAACAAAAAGGAAGTGTACAAACACACTGTGTATTGCTACAACAAGCAAAATAATGTAGCGTTATAAAAATGCAGTAAGCTTTTTCGCCGACTCAGCCACTGAAAACGTGTCGCCTGGTGCGACCACACCATCGACTTTCCATCCGTCACATCACACACTAATAATGATTTCACATTGTAAATTAACACTGCCTTGTTGGTGTATTTCCAATTTTGTATCGTGAATGTCAAAATATTTAACTTTAGTGGAGAGATTCTTCGTGAGTTGAGATTGAAGAACAATGCATTCAACCTCATTTTGCAACGAATCGCTATTGATGTGACGTCTTTCAAACTAACATCTTTTGATTTCAATGTGGAAGAGTTTATATTTGTCCTCCAAAGTACTCGGTCACACATTTAGAGAATGCTCTAGAACCTATAGTCGAAACCAAGGAAACGGTGAAGACCTTTCTTATTTTCAACAATAAGGGATGCAATCGCATTATTACTATAGATACGTTCAACAGACATATTTGTCAATTTGTTAAAAGAATGTGAACCTAATCAGCAATCGTGACTATGAAAATGTTCATTTCGGTGAGTGGTAGTTTAATATTCATACTGCCTCGTTTTGAGACGTAACTACATAAACAAAACCTTCAAAACCACAATTCATTAAGATTAATGTGGCCGTTCAGAAGAGTCTGCATTAATCTCTACGCAAAACACCCGCATATGTACAAATCGCTTGCATGCGCGATGATGTCTTTACAGACGGTATGCAGGTTACCTGCGGCTTAATGCGAGTCAGAATGGGCAAAAATGATGACAATATTTTTGCTTTACTTTTTTGAATCATTAATTAATTTATAGTGTTTTGTGTTAAATAAGCCAAGTTTCATCTTAATGTGTCATCTCTAAGTTGCGTAGCCTGGTCGGGGGCGTGGCCGTTTCCACACATCGTGGGTGACCTAGACTGTTTCTTTTCTGCTTTGGTTGTGAGAAATAGCTAATAGGTTGCTACCTAGTTTTTGACACACTGTTTCTGGTAACAATAGAGGGTTGAATCACGTTAAAATATCGGCATTTGCGTTTGCTTAACATATCGACCATGAATGCACTGAAAACGTGCCATTTCCCGTAAGTTGAAAATTTTTACCTTTAGGGAACATTTTCTGAAAAACTGCTAATAGAAGAATGCTCAAATTTTAACTGAGGACGTTACACTAGTTTATATACTTTAACGGGGCGGAAATTGTTTGTAAAATGTTAAATAGTTTAGACAATATTCCTATAAATGTTAGTATTTTAATAACAAACCCGATTACAATGGACAAAAATGTATATTTAAAAAAATAGTAATATTTTTTAAACGGCTTCGTTAAAATACTTATAAATAACGAATCACATAAAATTTAAAGTCTGTAAATTAGATAGTTTCTGAGAAAATGTTCCTTACATTAACATTGGCGGACGGTTACCTGCGGCAGGGCGGCGATGAAGGCGTGGATGTTGGCGGCCTTGGCGGCGGCGATGACCTCGTCGATGGGCACGGCGCGCGCGTTGTCCCCGTAGGCGATGTTCTCGGCGATGGTGCGGTCGAAGAGCACGGGCTCCTGCGAAACGATGCCCAGCTGCGCGCGCAGCGCCTCCAGCGGCAGCGCCGTCGTCGCGCGCCCGTCCACCAGCTGCGCACGCGCGCGCACAAGAGGATGTCAGAAAACGAATACTGAAAATATCCTTTAATCCCCGTTCCTGGGGTCTTTTTGAACTTCATCAAAATTAATTAGTTAACATTTGTCTACATATTTGATGACAATTTCTGTCTTCTATGTATGCTTTCATGCTCTTATTAAGAAAGTACCGAGCCATTTTCACATACTTTCTAAATTTTATTAGAGAGTTATTTTTTTCGTTACAAATGAATGGGTTGATCTGAATACAGTATAGTCTGAAATTTTTTAATTCTCATTAGAAACATCGTAAATCGCAATGATCTTAAAAAAAGTTTTTTATTTGTTCAATGTTCGATTTATTTCGAAATAAATTTCACAAACTCTTACAAATATTTCTGAAACATTATGTATCAACAATCAACTAGTACGTACGGTGGAGGTTATTCTTTAATGAGATATTTAATAATAATAATAATAATAATAATAATAATAATAATAATAATAACAACTTAAAAAATATAACTTTAAGTGAAATCATTTATTTATACTCGGTATATTGCCACATACGTGTTTACAATATCCAGTTGTCAGTAACAGTCAGAAGAGTCAGAAAAAATGATATGGTACGACGGTTAAAGGAAGAAATAAGTTTTTTCACCAAAGGGGTGTGGAGTGCCTCCTAAAGACAATATGGGGCAATAGACTCAACCCGCATTGATATCTTTTGACAGCCACTAGTAAAAGTGATTGTTAAGGGCATGCCTATCGTAGAAAAATTTCAATTTTTAACACAATTGCTAAAAGTGAGACAATGCTTGTGTTCAGATAAACCTGTGTATACAACAAAGACATCAAAATACTTTCCTCTGACCGCATCACTCACTACCGACCTTTATTAAGCGATTTGTGTACTTGAATAAAAATAAAATGAAATACACTAAGACTGACTAAAAAATAGTAAACAACTGCTGTACATGTGATTTTAATTTGTATACGTAAGGCCGGCCGTTCCGTGGCTCGAATCCATAAATTCTCGGCTATCCGGGAGACGCCGCGTCGTTGGCTGGGGTGCCGACGTTTCGCCTGTCATGTCGCAGGCTTCCTCAGGGCAGTGAGCAGGGCGTCTCCCGGATAGCCGAGAATTTATGTGATTTTAATTTGGTCATAGGATTGGATCACTCGGCTCGACGGCCCCGCTTCGCAACATTTCCTTCTAGCGAAATAAAACTTTTACCCATTCATATCATAAATAACTCTTATTTATTTAATGTAAAGCAACAGAGCTAGCTGGTATGTAAAATTTATGAGAGGATTGTGGATCTAAATGTTCATACAGTTCCTAACACACTTTGAGTTTGATTTTGTGTATTTCATGATACTGACGTTCTGTGTTTTCTCATAATTTTGAAGAGAATATTTATGAATGTTTATGTGAACCATAATAAGGTTGCCTTCAATGTACGTTATTTTGCATAAATACGTGATCCATTTACATAAAAATACATATTCATTTACATGCATTCAAACGGTTGATATATGATAATGATTGGGCTCATTCAAAGGAACCCAAAAATGTTCAGGTTACAAGAGTTTGTATATTTTGGTACACTACATTTCTTTGTTAATCTAATCTTTATTAATCTAATTATTTGCTATTATTATTGTGATATTTTATGACTGTGATACTTAGAATTGCCATCTTGTTAAAATTATTACTTTCTGCATTGTTACTTACACTGTAAACGCAATACAGTAAAACTACAATTATCAGAAGTGCCTAATAAACCCATCTTTCAATTACCTTACCATTTTGAAACAAAAAATTAATAAAGACTTGCCTTCCTATAAAAATGAATATGCTTTTTCTGTATACGAACTTTTATATCTTAGAGTAGTATTTGGTTCTCTATACCATAGTTTTTTGAAAAATTAATTTCATGAATTATGTTTTTATTTACATCTCTGGCGTCTTTTTTACTTCATATTAAAAGCTAAAACTATCGTATTTTCCGCATATCCGAAACCGGCTTGAACAGCCCACAAGACGAAACCGGCCTGTCCTGGATTATAGTGATTAATCAAAAGATCTACTTGACGAATGTTATCAAACAGCGCACCAGCGTCGCGTCGCGGCGGCGGCCGCCGCCCACTCACCACGCTGCCGGCGAGCGGGTCGTAGAGGCGCTGCAGGAGCTGCAGGCACGTGGACGTTGCGCAGCCGCTGGGCCCACCAAGCGCGCCACCGTGGCCCCGCCGGCACCTTGCAGCCGCAGGCCGGCAGCGACGGCGCGCCTCAGGCCGCGTGGGTAGGCGAAAACTTCCACGCCCTCGAACTCCACTCGCGGAGAACTCCTGCGCACGCGAGACACACAACAGGTCAGTATTGTAAGGGCCTTAGATACAGTGATATATATTAGTATATATATATATATATATATAATATATATATATATATATTATATATATATATATATATGTTTGGCAGGGTCGCGATTTCATTCCAGCACACCGAGCGCTGCGGACCTGCTCACTACCGCTCCGCATAACCGACAACATGCTATAGAGTACACCAAGTTGTTATTACGCTTAGTGTTTCGTTCCAAACAGTGCAAAGTTTATGGCGTATGCCATAAACTCATCCACAGGGCAGTCAATTAGCCTAGCCCTATACACACTGCACAATGCAGACATCAATGGAGATAAGTCATCAGGCTGACTCTTATGGAAACCAGCGCGGCAAAGGACACCAGTAACGCAGCCACGCCGGCTCCAATCAGTGGCGAGGGCATCATCTGCTCAGTCTTCATTCAACAAAACTCGTTCTTCGGAGTGGCACCCCAACCTTATACCTCACATCAACAAAACAAAAGGTCAGACAGGGCCAGTGAGAATGAAAGTGAAATCGAAACCAAGAAAATTAATCCTTGAAGTGAATGCGCGACAGATATATCGAAATCTTCCACTGAATACGCTTATAACGTACCCGTAGAAAACAGGTTCTGCGAACTTGGTGAAATCGGTGAAGATCCTACGAGCAACAGATTTCTTTATGTGGAGGAAAAGTGCAATGACCAAATATTTCCAGCTAAAAGAATTCCACCAATTTATATAGCTAATATATCCATCACGTCAACAACTTCATAAATGAACTTGAAACTAAAGTCACAAAAAAGTTCGTTACTGATGTGAAAAACAATAAAATTAAAATAAATTCAGGCACTGCAACAGACTTTACGAGTATAGTAAAATACTTAATTCAATTACAAAAACGCTTCCATATCTATAAGGATCCTGCTAATAATAAATACTTAGTTGTTTTTAAACATCTTTATTCAATAATTTCCGAAGCCGATATAAAAGAATACATCACAGCAATATTAAAAATCACATGGCTAAACCAGGATAATAAACCAATCCCAGTAGTAGCAGCAGAATTTAGTGGCGCAGAACACATTGAGACAATACTAACTATAAACACGATTTACAATCACAGAGTCATTGCCGAAAAAAGAAAACCCAAAGGCCCAATACAGTGTCAAAGGTTTCTAGACTATGGTCACACGAAGAATAACCGTAATCATAAAATTCACTGCGCATTTTGCTAACTGCCATGGAAGGCGAAAAGCAGATATTAGAGACCATTTTTGCAAATATTATAAGGAAATCAGTGGAAAAAAATCCCTTGACCACCTACGAATAACACAAATAGAAATCAAAAATCCCCTACTCCCCACCCACTTCTCAATCCCTCTCAGACTTCCCGAATGTATTGCGAACTAATCCAATCAATAATTTCACTCACATCTCTAATTCCAAGATCAGTTCACACACGTCTAACCCAAATCTTACGAGCCACCGAAGCCATCCCCCGCAAACAATTCAGCTTTATCGAAAATATATCCACACAGTAGCAGCTCCTAGGAATCACAGAACACCTCTACTCTTCATTCCCTAAAAAGTTTCATACAATAGGAATATTTATCGACATAACCCAGGCTTTCGATAGAACGTGGCATCAGGCGCTACTGTAAAAATTGGAACCCGTAATTATATCATCGCAACAATCCGCAGTTTTTTATCTAACAGAACCTTTTCAGTTAATGTCAATAATCACCACTCAAACCGCAGGCAAATAAACGCAGAACTTCCCCAAGGATCACCATTATCCCCCATTATCTCCAATAATAGATATCCATCAAATATTTCCTCTTTACCCGTTTTCTTCTTCAGCATTAAACAAGGCTACTTATTATAAGCATACAATATCATAATCAAGTGAGAGCGTCATTCATCTTGACTTGAGAGCAAAACTACATAAAATATTGGACAAAATGTAATACGTTCGTCAAATTTCTTGGTCAAAGTTTGCTTTGCCGAACTTTGCCGAAGTTCAAACAACTTCAATACAGTTTTTCGTCAAAGATTTTTGTCAAATATCTTTTACAGTGTAATACCAGTCTTAGATGCAGAAAGTAGTGCATTCCGTTCTGCCATCGATCCCGCCATTTTATATACAGTTGTCAGGACTATTGAAACTATGCAGTATTCTGTTGAAAACCCTGAATCTATCCCAAACCAATATTAATCTTCATAATGTCACCAATTGTTATCATTTGTGTTCAACTTCTAAATTCCACTACTGTGTGGGAGAATATTAAAAGGCGGTTCTTGCGCTACTATGCAGTATTGTGATTGGATGAAATGGTCCAGCTAACTTCCAGGACGTGGTTGTGTGGTTCGACGTGGACGTGGTTGCTCCATCGATCTCACCATTTTATATCCAGTTGTCATAAGAATTGGGACCGTGATATTTTATGTGTTGAGAACCATGAATCTATCCTAAACCAGTATTAACATTCTTACAAATCTCCGTAACGTCACCAATAATGGGTTTACATACAACACATATGGTCCCATTTATATCACGATCGTTGCACAAGTGCACTAAACGTGTGTGTGTGTGTGAATTAGTGCACAAGTGAAAATATTTGCTGTAGGAAAATATTTTTATTTGAATTAGTAATATAATCCATAAAAAATATGAAGGTTTTTTATTTTTTTAAAGTATGTTTAAAATCGTATAAAATTCAACTTTTCCATAGATAATTGGGATAGGTACAATTTAAAAATGTATGTGAGTTCAAAATAATTGTACGTACGTACGTACTTATTCCAATCTTAACGGGATAGAACATTTGTTAAAAGAACAACAATGAATAACCAATGATGAACGTAAATAAATAATGAAAAATGTATCTTTGTTCACTCGAAATTAATATTAAACAGTTGTTTAATTACGAAAATGACTGCATGATATATCAACACGTTTGTTGTGCCTAATTCCCAACTTCCCCATCACTGGGTACGTGTCATACTGTGACAGACAATGCGTTTGTTCGCTTGCCATTGTCAAAAGGCGCTGCCCTACAAGCTACTCTTCCCTCGGGATAACCCTCGACTAAGCTCGGAGCCACCATGGGAACCCCTACGAGCCAACAATTGTTCTAATTTTCCTTCAGCTCTTGATTGCTGCCTGGCGGGGCTATCGGGAGAGAGAATATTAAATGGCGGCAGTTGTACTCTCTGTCTCTTAGAGACTCTAGCCACCGTTGGTCATCAGTGCGTTCTAGCGCAGGCCACCTCAACTTGCTTCGAAGGAGGGTAAGCGCTAGTGGTGGCTGCTCTGCACTAGTTTGGAAACGCTCGTGATATAAACGGGAAGATATGTGTCGCGTACATTAAATGATAATAATGGTGAAGCAATTGCCTACGCTGATGACTCTGCACTGATAGCGCAAGTGAAATCTAGGTCATACACGGAACAAGCTGAAAAAGCCTTTAGTCCCTTGTTAACATGGAGTAAAAGTATACCTCGTTTTATAAGACCAGTCTTGACCAATTTAATTAAAACTGCCCCAAAAAGAAAACTACTCCCAAATGAACGGCCACCTATCAGTCTTGCTGTTCACAAAATTAAGTATGGTACATTTCAAACACATTGGGGAGTAGATTTACACTTCAATTACAAATTCAAACCGCATGGTCTGCGAAAAGACCGCTTGCTTTTTTTGAAACTGAAAAGAATAAAGATGACCCAAAATATCAATAATAAGCGAAAATTGGTGGTGATTTACATTGAAGCCTTCCTACTAATAATCACCTGCTGTGCGTCTGTCTGAACGAAAATTGTCAACATAACATTTATAAGCAAAGATCTTGATAGCATGTAAAGTAGAGCGCTTGCGACTCTAAAAGATGCATTTAGAATTGCCTCAACGTCCGCGTTTCAGATACTATCAAGATAGCTCCTAATGGATTTGATAATCCAACTGGAACAGTTACGTATTACCTTAGGAAATGAAGTCACGACAAATGGGGACAATGAACTCGCCATTTAGCTAAAGAATTAGTTTTATATTATAATATAATATAAATATAATTAGTATTGCTAGCAGCACAGACTGTACGAGGCCAGGAGAGAAACATACAAGTATACATTGGTCTGCGAGTGCCAACACAAATTAAAGATTTTAAAGCTTTATCATTTAAAGAAATTGTTCAAATAATTACGGGGCTTGTTCCATTTAGAATCCAACTCCGCCTTATAACTTGTACACCTCTCATATGTCTTCGGATAAGAGTAAATGGAAATTTATGTTTTATGTGATTGCCCTATCGCTATGCTGCGATCAGGCAGGGCGTTGTGGTTGCACCTATGTTACCTCATTTTATATCTATTATAGGATATTTCAAAAATATGGAACATCTAGTAAAGAAGATAATAAACCATCAAACGTGTTTCAAAACATGGCATAGATTTCTACTGTACTCTCTGCCTCTCCCAGGCGCGAGTGCAGCTGACGACGAAATATTAAGAAATGTAAACAGAATGTAACAAACCTCAACGGCAAACCGAAAGGATTGAATTATTCCTTCAGAAACAAAATAGAATATTCACACAATAAACAACATAAGGCAGAACATGTTGATGTTATCCTAAGAATATCGTCCAATATTTTATCAATTTTGTTAAATTTTCAAAGTAGTTCATTGAACGAAACTACATGTTTCTATGTAATTTTTGTTTAATTTTTACTATTCATCCTGCAAAATGTGACAAATGTTACATATGTTGATACAGATTTGTAAAGTTTGACTTTAGATAAGGATAGTGGATTCAAAATGGTTAACTTGCATGACCAAATGGCTCCGGAAATTACTTACTCTGTATATTGTGAATTGAATGTAAATATGATGTAAAAAGTTCTAACGTACGATGGTGATGTCACTGAAAGTTGTTTATCAGAAAAACAGTTTAAAAAACCTATTAAACGATTCAATAGAATTCGAGTAAGTTTCTCCTAACTCACCATCTTGACTCCGTCCTTGGGCTTGGAACCAACGACGCGTGGCACCCTGTCGAGCAGCGAGAACAGCCGGCCGGCGGAGAGCTTGGCCGAGGAGAAGTTGGGGGCGAACGCCAGCGATTGGCCCAGCATCCACGAGCCAAAGATGAGCGCTTCAGACACTCTGGAAGGGCAAGAACAAAATGAACTCCGGTCTCAGCTAGGACAACCCTCATTGCACACTCCTGTTCCTACGGACTGTGCCATAAGGACAATGACTTCCAACCTCGGTTTTGCGATCGCCTTAAATGTAACTTTTCAAAAATCTCATTGATTGATTGATTGATTGGTTGATGTTTCCGGAAAAGTCAACAGCTACAGTCCGGTTTCTGTAATGAATGTTTTATCGCGAGAAGTGGCAGTATTCGCTCTCCACTGTTTTCAGTCACCCTCAAAGCTACATGCTGTGCCTGCACTGCAGCATAAGGGGAATTTCCCTCTCCCCTCAGGGGAAAACACCCTCAGTTAGGACAAGCTGTAATCTTCCGACTAGTCTACCGACATGTGTGATAGGGTAATGCATGTAAAGGTAAGTATGTGTGAGTGTATGTGTGTAAGGAGAAAGATTAGGACATGGAAGAAGAAGAAGAAGAAGAAGAAGAAGAAGAAGAAGAAGAAGAAAAGATACACTAACGAGAGTACTGCTCCGGCGTTTGTGTGGTAATTATAGGAGAGCTTCAAGATCAGTAGGTCTACAGGGTAAAGGTCAAACTGTATTTAAGTCTAACAGAAAAAAGTATAATAAAAATGTGGTTTATATTTCTATTAAGACTAATGATTAAAATGTCCACAGCTAAAATGTCTACAAACAGAAATGTCTACTAACTACAAAGTCTATCAGGTGAAAGTCTAAAAGAAATGTCTAACGAGTATATTGTTAAAAATTTATATCTAACGCAATAATAAATTGAAAGTATGTAGATCAATATGTAGATATGAACATCATCGTAACTGGATTTTCAAAAATAAATGAGTTGCCGCGGCAATAAAACTAAGAGATCTATTTTTATTTCAAACACACCGGTTCCTACAACATAAATCATGGTGACTTACACAGTGAAATCCAATAAAGTTAAAGATATATGTAATAATTTCCATTACATCAACAGACGGATGGAAGATCCTGTTATTGGAGATGTTTCCAGAAAGATAACTTGTATTACTAGGTAAAATTTAAAAGGTGACAAACTGTTCTATTCACTGGGGAATAGATAAAATACACATTATTTAAATGTAGGTTGTGTTAATTTTATTTCTTCACGGAGTTTCCACCTTAGAGGGCTGTTGTATCCAGTTAGAGTAAAAACACCAATTATGGCTACTTCAACCTCAAAATTTGAAAATAAGAAATTGACACTTCCCAATTGCTTAAAACATTCAGAATGCAGAGCTTATGTCTTCAGTGGCGAGGTGTTATACAAACAAAGAGATAAATTATTTCGTTTCTCTTCACACATAGATAATACGTTGAATATATTTTAGTAATAGACACGTTCAGGGGACAAAATATCGATTGTGCACTAGAGAGCCAAGTATGTGACTATTATCGAAATTTCCCAATTTTCAAGGATCACTACTGGATCACAATTGAGGTTTGGAAATTAATTAATAAAAAATTAAAGAAAATAAAACTTTAATAAAACTAACCCATTTTTAAGCAAGATATCTATGTAAAAAGAGCTACGCTAATTACCCAATGAGTTTCACTTCACGACATTAATCAAAACATTTTAAGAAAGCTATCAAAATATCCCTAGCACTTAAGTTTTCAAGTTATGTGTCACACCTTTCAAGGCAGGTGATGAATTAACAGCTGTTCGTTCTTTTGCATTATAATCTACCTCGTAAATATCACTCATCACATGAATAAGTAACGCCAAGTGGTAATCATGAACAGTGCACTGGCGAGTTGACTGCTGTCGTATGCGTGGCCCAATTTTACCAAACAAGCTGATCCACTCAAGTCACCACCACATTCATGAGTCTTGACCTCTAGCAGATTTCTCGAGTACAATGATGCAATCAAAACAGTTTCATCAGCACTTCAATGAGTATTGACACGACAGGAGTTATCTCAGAATTGGTTTATGCACTGCAATTGCTACGTTTTTGTTATATTGTTTTTTTTAAGAGATAGATTAATTTGAATTATTTAGCGTGATTGGGTATTTGTGTTATATTAAATAAATATAAACTTGTTTGAATCTTTAGGTATACAATACTAAATATTTACTGAAATTAATTTCATACTTGTACACATTTTATAATTTTTCTTTTAAATCATTTAATTTTATCACAATGTTTAATTTCTGACGGTATTTAATCATGCCATTCATAATTCAAATCCTTTAACAAATAATGTTTTTGTCTGGAACATACATAAATAAAAAATTAGCTCCTTACAATGTACTCTGTTATATTGACATAAATTTCAGTGCTTTTAACATGCCAAGCAGTGGAGCTTATCTATTTCATTGTAATATTACCATCATTACTTTCGTTTGTTACATCTGTAATTTATTAATTACGGGGTTTGTGGATCCATTAATATTGTTACAAAGGTATCAAAGTTGGGTGCAATTATGAACGTAAGCTCTCTATGTAATCTTTATCATTTAATTTATTATCTTTAATGACTCCCAAATGTTTCATTTCGTGTACACGTTTACTCGTACTTTAAGACTTTAATTATTTTGTTTATCTTCTATATTTCTTCCACAAAATCATAAGCATAGTATTTTCAACATTCATTTTACTTTCTCGCTACAGAGAGGGAAAGTTATGTAATGCTGGGTAAAAAAAGGCGAATTGACGGCGGAAAAATTCTTATTACATAGTCCTGGTAACGAAAAGGTGGATGACGAGGATAAATCCACTTGCTAAATTTAGAAAAACACCTCTAGCACGCGGTGTACCAAGAGTCTATGATTTGTGGGTCTTTAATATCGAAAAATCGAATGACGGTAAAAACATCTGTCTGTATGTGAAAAACGCTACCAGCTAAACCGTTCAGCCGATTTTCTCCAAAATTGATATTCCCCTATCGATCTGGCTGATTCCGCGGCCCGGTGAATTTGAAACCGTTATTTTTATTTTGGGGGTGCTTTGCATGAAGCTCCTGGGACATTTTTCAAATTTTCAAAAAATGGCTCCAACGATTTTTATTAAATGTTGTTGGATAGTGTAAAAAACAGTTAACAGAATGTTGCAGGTCTCATTTTTCTTGCCAACCCTAATTTTTCGAATATTACAAAAGTTCACATTTTTTCGGAGTCTTCCTTCAACTAACATATTGAAGATAAATATTTTTCCTTTGATGAAATCTCATCCCTAAAGATAGATTTTTAAATACGTACATATACAATTTTGCAAACATTTGAGTAAATTTCACGTAATGTTTGTGAAAATACATGCGAGAAAGTACGTGCTGTTTTAGCACAACTAGTTCAAGTTAACTAGTGGTGCTAAAACAGTTGCCCTTAACCATTCTTGTACTGCAATAAATATACTCTGCAGTTAAAATACAACTTCCGCTTCTTTTTCTTCAATTACATTCAATAAAGTATCTTTAGCACACCAGTGTTATTAAGTGAATTATATAACACCACCAAATATATCATATATTTTATTATGTCAATTAAGAAGTAAATTTAAAAAAATATCGGGTCCAAAACTGAAATTTGCGGAACATACAATAATGGAATTTGAATTGCGTAATGTACTTTGTGCGACAGCCTGTGAACGGGCTGTCCTACTGGCGAAGTTCGTACGTCGCGGCCATGGGTTAAGGGGGTATGTGGGGTTAGCACGTAGACATCCCTACACCGTATTCAGGTCTTCTCAACCTGAAAAGTGAATTTTCACGTCGACACAGCAACATGTACAGGGACATTGCAAGGAAAACACACACTATAATCTTGCTTGACCGTGAATCGAACCTGGGGCTGCGTAGAAACACATAAATCTATACTAATTTCATCTGAGAAAACATTGTATTTTGCTTTCTATTCTTGCGAAATGAAATAAATCCTTTTCTGACGTCTCTTTGATTCTATATTTCTTCTAACCTTTTTTTCATATGTGAGTAGCTTATTTATTGATCTAAATTATGTTATTTTCCTTGTCTTTAGCACGATTGGAATTGGCATTATTCGGAAAGCTTTGCAAGTAGATGAGTTCCCAATTTACTTAGGAAAGATTTGTACTCATAGCGTCTGTTTTGTAAATTTCAAGACCAAAAGCACACTAAAGGAATAGTATACTTCTATAAAACACAAGTAACTATGGTTTATGAAACTTAAATTTATCTTTTAATTAATTCCATTTTATTTTTAACTTCCAACTTTGAGCGGCTTTGAGTCCTTAAAAAAATGAACGCTTGAATTTGAAACTATTGATATGAAGACATACTGATCATAAGATTTCCATTGTTTTTCGACAGAAATAGCATATTTCAAGAATTTATTAAAGAATTCTTCGAAGAACATCTTTATATGATATTATAGAACATAGTTATTGACTACGCTTTGTAATTGGCAGTTGAGATATGTAGCACACAAAACATTTGCGCATAAGCGCAAAAGCTGTCATTAGACAGAAAATAAAGCGATGAGTCTGACATACATTTCTAACAGGAAAAATTCTAACTTGTGAGCCGACACTTACTGATAATCATATGGCCAGCAGCGACAAATCCAGGTAGATAGATGTGGTCGTCAGCCCCACCACCGTTGTGCTAATGCACACCCCTTTTCCACTCCTTTAATATTTTCATATCATTCCCCTGTTAACTGACATGCGAAAGAGGGGCTTAAGAGCTGTTCTAATTTAAATATATTTCCATTCTCATTTCCATAATACGACACGTACAATTGAACGAGTCGGTGAGAGATATTCATAAATCAGATTTATGATATTTTTAAGTTGGCCATTCTCTCCGAGAAATATTAATTGGATACAGTATAATTTCTTTCGATTTTTTATGTTAAGATATCATCTCAATGGTATGTTGCAACATCACCTCAATGGTTGGCTGGGATCTCCATTGTTTTGAATGTGTCCGCCAATGTTGAACGACCGAATAAAACATTTAAATCAATGTTTTAAAATTGTATGGCTCGAAATAATTTAAGACCTAGCTCATGAAAGTCGCGAAGTAACAAGTGAACGTTTTAACCGTAAATTAAAGTCGACCAGATGCACGTTCTGTATAAAGCATAGTAAACACAACTACAAGACACTCCGTACCAGAACTCTGTGATCACATTGCATAAAAAGATTAACATAGAAATACAGCAAAAACACATATCCACTGCATGGAAAACCGAAACGCATCCAAAATATTGTGTCATATCGTTTTTTATTCATTATTTCAGACTAATGAGATGAAGGCTTATAAAACTCTGAACTAATGCAGTGACTATACTTGCATTTATTATAGGGCCCTTTGACAGTTCATCAGATGACAGGGTGTCAAAAGAAACTATGATTAAAACGAAGTATATTACTGAGAACACGAATTTAAATACACTTCTGAAAATGCAATCGAAATATTTTACATTTACCAAGATCTTTATGCGTATGTTGTGATGGACTGGAGCGGGAAATTCTGTTTAATTAAAACATGTAATGGCAACGCCGGGTACTTCAGCTCGTAAAAGAAAAAAACCATTGCCTTCGTTTTCATGTGACCTCATTGGTCAACACCTATTTTCTTTATAGAATTTTCAGCCCTTTGCCAGCCTCTTCATTTAGTAACACAAGTTAAAAAACAGGACAAGAAAATAATTTCTTGCTCTTACTTAATGACGTTCTGGTAGGGCAGGCCCTCGTTGGCGACGAGGATGCCGCCGTAGTAGAGCGCCAGGCTGTAGGCGAGGAACCACGAGCACTGGCCCATGGCGAAGACGACGCCGCGCCAGCGCATCTTGCCGCGGCCGGCCGCCTCGGCCGCGGACAGCGCGTCGCCGTAGCGCCGCAGGAAGGCGCGCTCGCCGCCCAGCGCTGCCACCGTGCGCACGTTGGCGATCACCTCCACCGCCACCTGCGCCACGCCCACCGCCCACTCGCTCACTCTCCACACCCTACGCACGAGCTGGGTCGGGATAAACGCTACTTCTAAGGCCTCAAGGGAGGTCGCTTCATTCATTGATTAGTGTTTCCGAGCGCAACGACTGCTGTAGTCTTAAGTCATATGTGTAGCGCATGTTACTTGTCGCGAGAGGTAGCGGTGACGCCGACCTACACGTCGGCCTGCAGGGTTTTTTCTCAATCAGACTGGTTTTTTTTTTTTTTTTTTTTTTAACCAATCAGCGAAGAACCGTCCCAGCCGAGACAAGTTCTAAGCATCGACTGGTCTTCGGACGTGTGTGTCGTAGAGTATTGTATGTAAGTAAGCGTTGAGGACAAGACAAGGAAGAGGAAGGAAAAATCGCGCGCATTCTGTTGTCCGTTTGTAAAAGTCCTGTTCCGGCATTCACCTCTTGTTCTTCGGAGAATCCACTCTAAACTACGGACCCCAGCAGCCGTCTGCTAGAATTCTCTACCAGGGAGGTCGAAAAGTCAAACGTTTTGCCAATGAATATATGATGAAAACCTCTCGTATGGGACATGGACATTGTAATAGCTTTCCTAGGTGCAATCTCGGGTTCGATTTCCGGTCGGGCCAAAAATAGAGCTGTACCTTTCTAACATAATCTTAGTTTCTATAGTTGTGTGGCGAAAGAAAACATGCCTAGACACGTTGATAGGAATGCGTCACGCGCGCCACACATCCCCCTCCCCCAAGCTAATAAAATGTAAGAAAATAAATAAAAGTACCGAATATTTTTTTCTCTTCATTTTCACCTATAGTAATGTATACACCTATTATAATAATTACCGGTAATAATTACTACTAAGAAACAAACTTAGTGATTTGTTCTCGTGCGCTCCTTCCCGCGTTCTTCCAAATGTCGTCGTCTCTTTCACTAGCAATCTCTGGCGGTCTTTCACGTCGTCCCACCCAGCCTCGACCTCCGAACGCGGAGCTCCAAAACAAGCACGCACGCGCGCAAGGGAAACGCACCTTGGACGCGCCCTCCAGCGCCTGCTTCTCATGCAGGCCCTGCCCGTGCATGAGGCGCGCCTCCAGGAACACGCCGGTGAACACCAGTGGCACGCTCAGCATCGACACCAGCGTCAGCTTCCACGTGTAGTAGAACGAAAGCAGCACGCCGATCACCAGCGTCGACGTCGACTGCAGGATGGAGCCAATGCGCGACCCAGTAGCCTGCAACGGAGAGATTAATCGGGCAAATTGTCCAGCTTAGCCCAAAACGATTCGACAGTAAATTCTTCCATCCCATTCCAGGAGATTTGTCTTGCTTACTTATTTAAAAACAGTTAAAAACGGTGTAACGTGCTATGGGGAGAAGGGTAATCTGTCCGCTGTTTCTTGAGCTCATGAATAACTGCCGTAACCAACGAGCTAGAATATATTACATAGAGTGGCTGTCCCTATAGTTTTGGCGCTCTTAGTGGACGCTAGCAAAACTAGTGGGCAGCGTGTTTTTTGAGGTCAAATCATACGAGTGGTGCACATACGAGTGGCACAACTGTCCGTAACCAGCGCTAAACGTAATACTAGAATACTTTGTTTCCCAGAGAGCGCAGTTTTGATTGCAAAATACATGGTTTAATTTTCTTCAGAGATGGTGGCGCTTCAGCCACTCTATGCAGTATATACTAGCTCGTTGGTCGTAACTCGTGTACGTACTAAATTGAATTAGGAATACAGGTAGCAAAGATCGTTTTTGGCAAAAATTGGTATGGAAATATTCGCTCCCATGTAATAAAAACAATTTGCAAACGCAAACAAGCTACAAATTTTGGCTATTATCCTCCTCTTCGTGAATTCGTGTCTTACTACCACAAGAACATAAACAATTACTTGATTAACTACATTCTTCATTGAGCTAAAGAATAATTGTGAACTGATAGACAAGCTACATTTATGTGCATTTATGAGCATTTATGAGCACATCTCAGCATTTACTTTACATTAAGCATTTAATTACAGCATTTACAGCATTAAGACCAAGAAGCTGAAAAACCCGATCGAGCATTGTTCTCAACATTGTTCACTTCAAGGCATACGGTTCTAATAATAAAAGTTCCAAGCGATAAAACAGTAAATCATTAACTAAACAAAGATAGAGGTAACATCTTCTATGGAAACCTTCGTTAACCAGGGGCGGATCCAGAGAAGAATTTGGGGGATGAGAGGGGATTCAAAATATTTTGGTCGAATGTATCATGTTACAGGTTTTGTAGAACGACGATTTTATTACTTTTAATGATTTTTAGGAAATGTTTTTGTTTGAAAATGTGAAAAGTTAAAATAATAGTTTGTCAAAAAAATTTTGGAAGGTGGGTTTACCAACCGAGATAGAGTAGAGTTAGAGTATCTCTAACTCGTTGGGTTAACCTCATCAACAATAGATCCTGGTAGATCCACGCCTGCGTTAATCCATTTCAACAATAACTCAACAATTACAATGATGATAATGATGATACTACTACTACTACTACTACTACTACTACTACTACTACTACTACTACTACTACTAATAATAATAATAATAATAATAATGTCTTTATTGAGTGGCGAGAGACAGTGTATAAGACCTGCTCTTCCCGCTAGGCGACGGCGCGGCATGGCGCAGAGGCGATAGCTCACCCCCTGCACGGAGGCGGCGTCGCCGGCGAGGCGTGCGCACAGCACGCCCACGCCGTGGCGCTCCTCGTCGAAGAAGGCCACCTCCTGGCGCAGCAGCGCGGCGAAGGCCTCACGGCGCAGGCGCGACGTCAGCCGCGACCCGGCCACGCCCAGCGTGTACATCTGCAGGAAGGTGCCGCCGCCGGCCATCACGCCCACCACGATGAACAGGCACGCGAACACCACCACCGACCCGCGCACCTCCTCCGGAGACTCCAGCGACAGCGCCTGCGATGTTAGCAAACATCGATATTCAAAATTAAAACATCGATGTTAAAAATACATCGACTATAAACTATCGATGTTTTTCAACCTTCAACAATGTAACCTCTTACATTAAATTCGTGTGCATAAAAAATTAATTTGACAATGTTCGTGATTATCAGTTCGCAGAAAAAGGGTACGAGAAGGAGCAGACCCCGAGGAAATACAAGGGCTTGGAGGTCATCTCATACGAAAGAGTTTGGTCGATTAAGGCAGTGCAAACAGCGTTCCTTTGGTTCCAACTCATGAATAACAGGGTTACTATCTCTTATTATTTCATATTTGGACTTTTACAGTATCGTGATAATGATGATTTTTCATTTAGAAATTAAATATTGGAAATAAAAAAACATCGATCACAAAACATTGATGCTAAAAAACATGGATGTTTAAACAATCGATGTTTCACAAAACAATCGATGTTTTGAAACATGGACACCGATGTTGTATCCCTAGTTCGAAACCCGCCCGTGGCATGAATGTATGTGTTCGTATACAATTACGTTACCCCATGTTACTTACAAATCACAAAGTAACCTTAAAGTTATGTCCATAGTAGGTGAAAAGGGACCTTAATGATTAAGTATAAAGAAAGATAAATGACAGGTACATTTTATCTGCTGAAACATGGTACTGGCCTTGAAGGTGTAAATACAGTTAAGGGGGAAATAGTGATGTAAAATATAGACGTTGTATGTAAGTACAGTACGTCTTAGAAATATACCACCACGTGCTAAACCCCAAGTAAAGCAAATAAAACGTACGCTAGGAAATTCCTGCGAGCCGAATCAGATGCTCTTATTAAACATTACCTTTATGTTTATAGCAACCAGATCACTGGAAAAGAAGTGAAGGGGACAACATTTTCAGCATCTGCCATTATTGCGGTGAGTAAACCAATTACGTTATCTTTTGTTACAAGCTGCAACTCGTGCTACCAACATGTTTTCTGTTACTAGCACTCTCACCAGCCACTGGTGCCACTGCGGGGAGACTTTTCTTGTGCACAATATTTATCTACGCCACACTCACACGTTATCTTAAATCCACGTTTTTATACAACGTGAGCCAAAAAATAGATACTAGTGCGCACTCGCCTTGTAGACTTCTCCGAAGAGCACGGCGAAGAACGGAAGCGAGGCCCCCACTGTGAAGGACGCCAGGCAGCCCACGGCGATGTGCGGGTACTCGGGCTTGTTCATGGCCATGATGCGGCTGAGCGGCGCCTCGTAGGGCGCCTCCTCTCCTTCGTGCTGCAAAAGAACACCGCACCGCACGTCTCTGAGGGAGGGGACCTCGTTGATGGTGTGACTTACCATAATATTGTGAAACGTCGTTTCAATCATTGCTTTGATATTTATGTCATATAAGCGCGCAAAACATTTAATATTTTTGTTTTATGCTTTAAAATAAAAAGTGCAATATAATTTAGTTTTTAAGTTAAAAGAGAGTGTGCGTGTGTGTGTGTGTGTGTGTGTGTGTGTGTGCGCGCGCGCATATATGTATGTGTGTATACATGCAAAATTCATAAACCTTTTAGGCTAATATTATATAGTGTAATTGATATAGTGACTCAGGGTAGCAACGGAAGGTTAATAAGCGTAATAAAACGCTTCATCTTGCAGAAATATAGTTTCTCGCGATGCACGGAACAAATTGAATTGAGTAGATGCCTTATTTTGCGTGGCGAGGCTCGAGCTAACAGACCCGCTCTTCCGTCTGACCACGCAAATTTCGCTACGCTGTTTTCACCCACTTGCGGAGAAAAGACGTAACAGTCGGGCGACGAAACAGGCGATTTTTTAATTTGGCTCAGAGGCTTCACTTAGGATGAGGATACTTTATATGCAGTAAATCTACTACTGTGATAGCCGGCTTTATTTTCCCTCCGAAGGATGGTTTGAACCCGCGAACTGGGGTATAACAGACCGATAAGCTAACCGCTACACCATCGCCGCCGCAGGAACAATCTTCGTGCAGTGCATGGAACGATTTGACCAGAGATGGTTCTGAAGGGAAACGTTCACCTTGCTTTCTATAATAGAGCTACCAATTATGAATACTGGTACGAGCACTATGCGAATATTATTGGTTTCCATTTTCCCGATTTCTTAGATTCATGGTTATATCAACTATCTCTTGCGTAAGTAAAAACAGTAGCGACAGGTAAAAGGTCTGAGTGTCCCAAACGTACAGGCGAGGATAGCAAACCACTTCAAACATTTTCTTCCCACAGCAATTTACAGATGCCTACTGATTTCTGAAGAAATTCTGTCTCTAGGCAATGATCTCAAGAATGTATTATTGACAAAAAAAATTCCATTTTCATTATTATATCTGTTGTCAGGTAATCGTCAACGTCCATCTCAAATCATTAAGTACGTTGAGTGTGTGTGAATATTCTTACATATTAGTTCTTCAAAGGACTGAAGAAAGGAAATATATTACATGACAATATTACACTGTTACAGCACCCAATCTTATAAACAAACAGGTTTTAAAAACTTTTCTGCTATTTTCTGCTTATAATGAACGAACTCCCTGATTTTCTTAGAAATGATATTTGTCTAATCACTGTGAATATGTATTATATTATAAATGTACTATAAAATGTTATTCATTTTTTAGTAAATTGCCAAGTTCCTTGCTTGTTTTTTCGATTTTGGAATTCCCTTGAAAACATGTTTCAAGTATATTACTTCCTGAGAAAGGTGGAGCTATGAATTATGAATATGCCTGAATCTTCTACACTAAATAATTTTGAAAACTTTGCTTTTATCGCATTTTATGAGATGTAACTCAATAAATAGTTATTGGCGAAATTTAAGAGATACTGAAAGGATGTTTTACTACAGCTAATCGATCCAATAAACAAAAGAAGGTATACTGTTTTCTGATCAACAGTAACACGTTTTTATGCTCAAATAATGATGAAAACTTACTTTTAACAGCATGCTTCTTGGCAGTAATGTCTCGATTTGTTCACATACTCTGACGTATCTCTGCGAAGAGATGTGCACTTGAGAAGGAAACAGGAAGCAGCAAAGGGGGGAAAAATAGGAGGAAAAACAAGAGACGATTAGCGGAAGTAGAATGGAAGGGAAGAAAGAAATAAAGAAGGAAAAGATGAGAAAATGAAATTATGCTGAACGAAGACGCGTGGCGCACCTTGAGCCGAGCGGCGTCGAGCGGCTTGAGGTCGTCCTCGCTGAGGCGCGGTGCGGACAGCTGGCGAGCCAGCACCTCCGGCAGCTGGTCGGCGCGACCGTCCTGCTCCAGCGGCACGCTCTCCGCTGCAGCCCCAGGCGCCGCCAGTGCGCCGCCTGCGCACACGAACGCACGTTCCTGGAGACCGCATGCGCTTCGAGGGCGCGAGCGTCGTAACGACAAACTTTACGCGTACTTCATAGTTAAGTGAATTTAATCTACTGTGAGGGAATGCCGTGTCTACTATGCCGCATATTTTGTGTTAATGAAGTTGATGGATGTGGATGCAGTGGCTCAATCATATGAATTCAATTATTACATGTTGAATTGATACTTTTTGTGTCTATTATGTGGTACCTTCTATGATTTGTCAATGGTGCTATAAACTTGCGCTTCTATAACCAGAAAGCGTGTGTCTTCACAAATTATATACTTGCATCGACTCACACGCGAAGCATCTGGGAACAGCTAATAAGAATCAGTGAGTTCAATGACGACTTTTTGCGCTTACCAACTTTCTTTTGTTATAGTGCATGAGACAGGCCGTCAATGCGCTGAAACCCTATCTGAGCTCTAGTTATGAGATACTAACGCCCAGTGTCACATGAGTGATAATATATACGGTCAAGTCTTAACACATACGCTAAAATTCCCTATGGTCTGACGGACGTTTGACGTTCGTCATCTGCTGTGTGTGTCTGTGTGTGTGTGTGTTAGGAAATTAAAATATAAATTTGTTCAAATTGTATCAACTCGCAAGAAAGAGACAATTGAGGTATGTAGCTTCGGTTGCTATGGACGCACGTTTGTGAGGGAGAGATTGGCTGGAATTCATAGGAAATACATGACTGACTGTAGTTCGAGATATTTTAAGTGATATTCGGTTGAAGTCCTCACATAGCGTCTTCAAGAGATTAGAAGATTGGCAAAAATCTGGGAAAGGTATTTCAAAACATTAATTAGTACTTCTAGAATATGGAAAAAGATATCCGCGGAAGTAGAGCACGTAATAGTTTGTCGATTGATAGTAAAAATCTGAATTCACGAACAATACACTTCGTGTTGGAACTTCATGTGTTTTATTTAAAAACACATCAAGAGATAGGCGAACGGACACTCACGGTGGGTAAGTGAAGAACAGCGGCAGCTAAATTTATTGGAGACACCAACGATCGCGGGAATCTTCGGGTGTATACACTGTTGCGGGACATAAGTTCATCAGAAACGTAACAGTGCGCTTGTGAATGCAACAAGCCATGCGGCAAGTCACAGCCAGCCAATCACACTGAACAAGTGACATTAGTCACATTATCTCGATGTAAAAAATATTCAAATTAATGGAAAGGGCTTGTAATATTTTATCCAGTAAGTGCACAAGAGATATATTTTGCGTTATGTGTGTAGTGAAATATAACCCAACCTGTAAAACATACTATCGTTAACTCCACGGTATTCACGACTACAAATGACTCCCGTTATAAGAGGAAAGTTACACTCTAGGACCAAAGGATGTTAAATCTACGGACGTCACCAACGCCACGCACCAGTATATCCAAGATCACACATTACATGAATCCGCTCTTAGCTGAAAAGTCATAGTATTTTGGTGATAATGAGGTTTGGAAAGACAGTTCACATTAATGGAAGATTTCCTTGAAAACTTTGTCAGAGTAAATATGACTTGGACTAAGACACAATCGGAATAAGAAGTTAAGTGAAGGGTTGAGAACACAATTGGTGAAAGTCGGTTTGATCTAATCAATCAGGAGAAAGAATCTGCGTGTGAACAATGGATTTCAAATACATACGTAATATTTCAGCAATAATTTTGAACTATTGTTGATACAGAGGGTACAGCAAAAATGTAAGTTTCTTTATAACAGAATTGCTAGCACTATCAAATGCAAAATAAAATTTGTTCTGATAGATTAGGTCAAACAGACTTACACCACTTCAATTTTCGCCCCTTAATTAACTTCTTGCTCTGATGGAACGAAAGAAAATTATTTGTCTTTCCAATTCTTTGCCAATTGAACATTGGGACGATGTGCCCTCTCCATTAAAATGGAAGAACAGTTCTGTTTTATGATGGCACGAATGTTCTTTGCAAAAACGAAACAATAATGATTTTAAAAGTTTAAAATTGTTTCTAAATAACAAATAAAAAACTAACGAAGGAAAAACGGGTTTAGTGTATTTTTGCATTTCAAATCGAAAATCGCTTGATCAATTGAAAATGAACATTCGCATGTACCAATTACATTCTCAACCCTTCAATTATTGATACAGAATAGCAAATGAAAACTAGAGATGCGAAATCACCAACAAATGTATTTAAATATCGTTGTTAATAAAACATCCGAACAACACCATCAAGTGTATTAAACATCGATGTTTTTAAAATTTATAAAAAACATTAATGTTCACAGGAAGGAAGAATTTGACAGTAGTTGCGTTTATTAATTTTTAATTCAGATTTAACTGACAAATGATCAGGAGAATTAAGAAAAGTTTTATCTCATTGGGTAATTTAAAAACAATATAGATATCATTTATCGTCGAAAACTGCATATTAATTATGTTTCACCCTTGGTCACTTTGGCCTGAAGAATGTCGAATTTATGGATAAATCAAAATTATTTCTAGTTTTTATTATTCACAAATGAAATATCAACCACGTAAATACATCGAACACAAAACATTAATGTTAAAAACGGCATCAAACAATAGTTGTTAAATACATTGATGATTTTATAAAAGCATGGATGTTTTAAAAAAAAATCATCGATGTCGCATTCTTATTAAAAATGTTCCCCCCAAAAATCGTCTGGCCTTCGTTCGGCGCCCGCGGCGGCAGACACCAGCCCATACTCAATTGAAGGGTTCGGGTGTAAAACATGGTAACCCACGTGGAAATGTTTGCGAGATACACGCAAAGAATATTTTTGTTGTAAGGGATTTAAATGGGGTACGTAAAAACGGCAAAAGCTTGGGGCAATGATGCGCTGTAATGTGGACTATTTGAGAATCACAGCCCATATGGACGTACGAAAATGTTAATATAACAAAAACTACATCTTTGACGAGTAAATACTTAGCTGCCCGCCAGATGCCGTGTGACAGGGACAAGTGCCCACGTTTCGGCCGGCTTTCTACGACCTTCCTCAAGACGAAATGCACGGGGATTGACTACGTTCAAGTTTCTTGCTCGTTCGCCTTAGTCGGTATGTAAGGTCGTGCGCAGTCCATCTCCGCGCATTTCGCCGTGAGGAACATCGCAGAATGGCGGCAGAAACGTTGGTACGTGTGCCTAGGTCGCCATATCTCCCGGACAGCCAAGTATTTACCGACTTCTGTCGCGGAAGCCTATAGTCCCTTATAAATTCAAGGGTTACCATCTTTTACTTCCGAGCCCCTCAATTATTAGTACAGAATAGGAAGAAAGGAAACGCATCGCTCCAAAATCCGCCTGACCTTCGGCGCCCGCGGCGGCGGCCACCAGCGCATAGTAGTGGCCCTTGAGCGCCAGCAGCTCGCTGTGCGTGCCCTGCTCGACGACGCGGCCGTCGGCCAGGCACACGATGCGGTCGGCGGCGGCGATGGTGGAGAGGCGGTGCGCCACCACCACGGTGGTGCGGCCGCGCGCCGCGCGCTCCAGCGCCCGCTGCACCAGCGCCTCGCTCTGCAGGTCCAGCGCCGACGTGGCCTCGTCAAGCAGCAGGATGCGCGGGTTGCGCACCAGGGCGCGCGCGATGGCGATGCGCTGCTTCTGCCCGCCCGACAGCTGCGTGCCGCGCTCGCCCACCTCCGTGTCGTAGCCCTGCGCAGCCAACGACCACCGTTCGCCTCGGCGCCCTTAAGAAAGGAACCCCTTTGCACCGCTTGGCATTGCGCGGCGCAGCACCGGCCGAAACGATTCGCGTGGTATTGAGTTAGATTTCACCCATTGCCAACAATCGAACGAAGTAGCGCACGGAGTAGTGCGCTAACTTCGCATTCGGAAGGTCCGGGTTCAGTCCCCGTGCCGGCCATCATGACCGGCGTTTTTTTAGTTTCTATCAGACATTCATGCGAATGCTGGGATGGTTCTACTAAAAAGCCACGACAGCGAAACCGGTTGCGAGCCGAATTCGTTAACTACGTGAAGTCACGAATGTTAAGCAAATTCGAGACATCATGGGTTTCTGCTTGGGTGACACACTAGTTGATGTGTAGTTGCGTAGGCCAGCAGTGCGCTCTGAAGAAGGCCACAATACGCTGGCCGAAACGTTAGCTACCATGACATTGCGCGGCTCGTCCCGGATAGCCTAGCCAACGACAGACTAGGAACTCCGGAATTTAACCGCGTCGAGGCCAATTGCCCTTTACGGGACATATAACTAAATACAAATACATTTCCAACGCCCGCTCTGCGCGGCTTTGCCCGACGGCAGAACGGCCCGCCCGGAATGCTTCACCGAGAATTGAATCCCGGGGAGTTGGACTACCAGGGCGGGGCGGCGAGTAATCTTGGGAGGTGATCATATGCTGTTCCAATAATTAATGGCGCTAATGAACTATCGAACGCTTATTTAACCAGTGCCATTCACCATCTGTTTTCCTCATTAGTCTCAATGTAATCACGAATCCTGACTCATTATGAATGTCAAGAGGAAAATACAAAAATCGTTTATTCCAATACTCAGTCGTCGAAATTTGTAATAAATATGCTCACAATAATTGATATACACAAGCATTTTTTAATGTAAGTTAAAAGGCGATAGAATTAGTATTTTCGGGGATGGTCTTACATTGGATCATTTTTTTACCGTTCTCATAAACTAAGCCGAGATAAATGTTTATTATTTTCGAAAATACCACAGCTTTAATAAAATCGAACTTCAAACATATTTATAAGTATGCTGACCTGTAAATATTCGAACAATTCTTAATGTAGTATGGTAGGATACTGCACCGTCATTCACTTGGAAATGATGAGAAAGAACACAGCTTTTATCTTTGTCCCTTCCTTTCCCTTACACACACACACACACACACACACACACACACACACACACACACACACACACACATTCTTACATGCACTGCACTACCAGTAGAGAGCTTCTCCCGGCTGGGAGCTTCCGGTGGGAGCTGCCCTGCAAAAAGAAATATCTGGAAATGAAAATCCCAGCAATCTGTGGTATGCGGGGACGCTGGACCTTATGGTCCTGTAGGGGGGTGGAATACCGCAACTTCCTGGAATATAGCATGTACATCATTCACGGGACTATTGACTTTAGTAGTAGACGCCTTCGGAAACAGTAAATACTCAAATACTCCCGGAACGAATGCCCGAAGCAACTGCCGCGGCCGGCAACAACACTGCCTCACCTGCGGCAGGCGCGTGATGAAGTCGTGCGCGCTGGCCTCCTTGGCGGCCGCCTCGATGTCGGCGCGCGTGGCGTCCTCGCGGCCGTAGCGGATGTTCTCGGCGATGCTGACGGCGAAGAGCGCGGGCTCCTGGCCCACCACGCCCACGTGCGAGCGCAGCCACGCCAGGTTCAGCTCGCGCACGTCCTCCCCGTCCAGCAGCACCTGCGCACGGCCACACGCCCGGCCCCGCGGGCCTCACGGATCACTACATTCGGTCTTCGCCATACTTGTTTAGAAAGTGAACATACGTTACTGTTATTTAAGAGCGGAAAGCCCGTCATTGTTGAATCAGGTAGGCAAAGCAGTTCTGAAACGTAGAGGGTTATCTTCATTTGTCTCTACCTAGCAATGGAATATTGGATAATGTGATATTATGTAAGAAGACCCTAGATAAGTAGAAGGCTTCATGAGTACGTTGAGATTAGATTGAGGGCTTCTCGGTTTCTTGGATTGTGGGTTTTATGTAGTAGTAAGCATGATTTGCTTAAGTTACTAACAGTGATAACTTCTCAGTGTTGGAAGAAGTTAACTACACCATTTTCAAAAACATCTATACTTTTAGGCGATTTATTTTTAATGTGGATGTTGTGCTCTGAACATGAATGTTCTAAAACATCATGAGTAACGCAAAGCATCTGAAAAATTAAATTCCCCTCGGTTCAACATTAATGTTAAAGGCTTCTAAACCAATTTTTAAATAATCGATAAATTTGGCAATGCATTATTAATAACGATACATTTACTTTGAAAATCGAGGTTTTCAAACGTGTGCATTGCAAATCCGTGTATAGATGTAACGATGTTGACAATGATCGGTGATTGTCGGCGACGTGTCATATTTGAAGGGTTCTTTGGCCGTCGTCGAGCGGCCTCATCCCGTCTTTCGGCTCACCTGTCCGTCCTGCGGGTCGTAGAGGCGCTGCAGCAGCTGCACCACGGTGGACTTGCCGCAGCCCGACGCGCCCACCAGCGCCACCGTCTCGCCGCGGCGCACGCTCAGGTCGAGGCCGCGCAGCACGGGCGCGTGCGGGCGCGCGGGGTAGCTGAAGCGCACGGCGCGCAGCGTGAGGTCCCCGCGCGGCGGCCGCTCGGGCCGGCGCCCGCCCTCCGCCAGCGGGTCCATGAGCGGCGCGCGCTCCAGCACCGCGAACACCGCCGCCGCCGCCCCGCGCGCCACCTGCGCACCGCCGCCGGCAAAGCCGCTTCACCAAAGGGGAAAAGAAAGAAAAGGGAAAAAGTGAAAAAAGGGGGAAATTGGGAAAAAGGGTGAGAACTCATTGTCGGGTCCTGCTAACGACGAAGTGGATACTATCTGTATCTACTGTGGATATCTGTTGCTGTACAAGCTTGCATGTAGGAAGTAATTTATTACTTCCTGTAACATGTGGTGAAGCCATTTTTTCTTCACATTTTCTCCTCAAAAATTTCAATATATTTAACATTTCAAAAATACAAAATTAAAGTACAGATTTTTCCCTTGGAGAAAATCTGTTGAAAAAAATCAGCTCTTTAAAATAGGAGAGGTATAATTCTTTTTTAAAAAACGAGTAAATTTCGGATAATTTGTGCTTGAAATTAATGCCAATTCTAAAACAAACTTTTTTTCAAATACTCCTCAAATTGTTTTCGTCATTTTTTTTCGCGGTTAGGAGAAGGGACGCTTAAAAGAATGGTGTGGGTCTCTTTTCGTTGAATTCTCTGAATTTTCGAAAATTGCATTTATCGAAATAACGCTAGAACGTATGTGCTATTGTAGCACCACTCGTTTGTTGGAAACTACTAGGTTCTGTAGTGTGCGTGTCACTGTTTATATGACTCCCACATGCTAAAAGCCGCTAGTTGGTGTACAATTAATCAAAAAAGTTAAAATTACTAATTATACATTATTTATAGTCGCATATTCGAATGACGCTATGGTGCTACATGTTAATATTGTTCTCAAACAGAGAAAGCAACATAGAAGCCTGCAACAAGAATCTCAGACCTTGGGTAAAGTTGAATCATCGTCATTGAACTGAAGAATCGCGAGTGAAGTAAAGGGTAACAGAGGATATCATTAGGTTATTAGTTTGCACTCCATGCCCATGAATTTCGAAATGCACACTTACCACTTAACCTATTTGTCTCCTCTGATTCACCATACAAGTGGAGCAATGTCACGGGCCTCTACTACGTTCTACGTCAACACCTAATTCCCAACAGTTTAGACGCTATTGTCTGAACGAACTTCGGATCTGGCAGTAGTAAGTCTCATGGTGACTTGCATACTACTAGAACTCTTCCTGATCGACGTCAAACGAATATGTAACGGAATTTGCTGTGAACAAACAAAACTATATTGCATTCCATGCTGCCAGATCTTTAAATAAAAAAAATTAAGACTTAATAAGGAAGTTTCTTCTGCGTCCAACGTTCACTCGTAATAAATGATTTCCAAGTATATAGAATCTACCTTTTAAAATAGTTTGTATAAAAAAAGTCTTAAACTTAAGTCAGAAATGTCCACAAGAAATTATTTTTGGTGAACTATGTACAATAGTTGAGTATTTCATGGCAGATTTTTGTGCACATTTAACCTTTTATATTGAATTCTATTTTAATAATAATAATAATAATAATAATAATAATAATAATAATGTTTAAAATGAGGCTTTAATGTAGCAACGTAGTAGAGTTGAAAAAATATGGAAAATGTTATATCTACGGAGATTGGAAAGAAATAATATGGGCCGCTTTTTTTCACCAATTTGGCTGCGCACTACCTCATTTCGTAAATTGCTTCTCTGAAAACATTTTATTTTCGGTCATGATAAATATAACATTTAAAAGTAATAGTGAGTAATGTGAAATAAAAATAGTATCGAGATTTTACAGTTCATAATGTCAAAAATAATGATCGAGAAACCTAGCTTGTCTGCAGAGGAAAGTCGATTTAGAACAGACTATGCCAGGGCCAGGTCAGACTCACGGGCACGCGAAAGATCTTCAGATCAGTTCGGTGCTCGCGATGTGATCCACGGGACGATGACAAGTCCCGCGAGATGGGAAATGGCGAGTTGGGCGCAACAAATACGAGAGACATTTATTAAATAATGTGTCACTATCAATTTTAAAACGATCGAAAATACTATAATTATTCAATTATTGTTGAACTTAAAGGGTACAAAAAAGGTCTAACCTAATGGTTAAAAAAAATAAAACGTTTGAATGTTGAATCCGATTCAAAATAAAAAAAAATCATTTGATTCCAACCTCCACTACACAACTGTATACACACTACTCATATTGTTAGAGATAAAAATCATCTGTAATATTTTTTGACATTTTAATTTCAGATTCATATTTTTTCAATAATATAAAAAACAAATGTTTTAGATTTTTTTAAATAAATTTTCTAAGTCCCCGACACAGTACACGCTTTCGTCTTCCCTTCAAGACCTGTACTTTCTGAGCACCCCTGTGAAATCGGAGGGTACCTCCTCCTTGCTCCGGGCACGACGTATGCCTTGGAGACGCGCTCGAACAACGTGTGACGTCCGTCCCGTTTGCTACCCCCGGGCTAAGCCTTTGCTCCTTTATCTACTCACCGCGAAGGCCTCGATATGCGGCGACGCCATGCCCATGTTCATGGCCCCCGAGAGCACTCCGAAGAGCACGATGACGAGCACGGCCGGCGTGTACTCGCCGCTGCCGGCCTCGCGGCCCTCCAGGATCAGCTCCACGCCGTACCACAGAGCCAGCGAGTAGCTGCTGTAGATGATGAACCACATGACGCCGCCGCCCACGCCGGAGAACAGCCCTCGCTTGCAGCCCATCGCCTCGGCCGACTGCAGCCGCTCGGCGTATCTGCGCAACGGGTTAACTCTTAGCAACATGATTGACGTCATCATTATCATCATCATCATCATAATCGCAGATGAGGTTGTACGCATATTATCGAAGTAATGTTGAATCAATTAATACAAGTTTTGGATCAATTCATAAAAGCTTGTATGAGAGCGACATTTATTTGACATCATCATTGTCGGCGTCAAGAATCATCAATAAATAATACTCAGAAATCATAATACCAGAAGAGTGACGGGGCAGGCCGAAGACACAGAGATGAAATTTTTAAGGAGAGTAAAAGGTTTTACTTTGCTAGATAAACAAAGAGATGACATAATAAAATAATTAAATATATTTAGTATAAATGATTGCATGCAACTACATAAACAAGACTAGAAAAACATTTAGAAAGAATTGAGCACAATAGGTTACCTAAACAAGTGCTGCAGTACAACACAACAGGAAGAAGGAGTGTTTGAAGACGTTGCAGAAGATGGTTTGATTTGTGAAGACGGAACACGCAGCCGCCTAATCCTTGAAGTGCAGAAGAAGAAAAAGTTTTCAAGGGATGTATGTATGGAATTTGCAATGGACCAATGTCAAACAATTAAAATAGTTGGAGATAAAAATTCAAGATCATGGATTCCAAATACAAAATGCACAGTTTATAAGAGCAATGCTTGCAGATGCTACAAGTACTTAGGTATCAAACAAGCTAGATGTGTAGATCATGCATCGGTTAAAGATGAACTGTCAACACAGTTTGTAGGAAGAATCATACAAGTTCTGAAGGCATCATTCAATAGCAGGGATATGATGAAAGCAGTCATACAAATGCTGTCCCTATGCTCGGGTACTCTTTTGGGGTTATAAAATGGTGTACATCGAAAAACGAAGGCCTCGAAAGAAAAATGCGCACATTGATGACCATAGAACGCAGGCATCATCCAAAATCAGCAGTCTAATGAATAACGTCACCACATTTGGGTGATCGAGGTATTATGGACATAGGCAACCACAGTCTCAACATATAAAATCTCTACGAGAATACTTTCACAAGGAAGCAGAAACATCTGAACTACATCGTGCTGTCTGTTTAGGATATGGATCCACAGCGTTGATGTTAACTCATCAAGAATACAACGGGAACAATTATTCAGAACGGCAAAATCTGGAAACGTGGATGAGCAAGCATCTACATGGAAAGCATCTGTACGCAACTATTGAAGATCACGTCAACATGAAAGCGTCGAACTACTAGCTAATGGCAGGTCAGATGTTCTCAGAGAATGAAGGCACTGTGCTGGCAATACTAGATCAAGTCATGCCACCAGAAGTTATCTGAAGGCAATAGTAAGATATCCCGGAGTACAAGACGACAGGTGTCGATATGGATGCCAGGCATAGGAAAACATCCACCATATTACATCTGGATGCACACATTTCTTGGGAACTGATTACAAACAACGCCATGATGCAGTTGGAAAGATCCAGCATCGAGAGATTGCCTACAAACACCAGCTTGTAGAACGCAAGGTATCCTACTATAAATACGTACTTAACAATGTTTACGAAATGATGAATGGCGACTTTATTGGGGCAAAATATTTCTCACAGACCAAAGAGACTCTCACAACCGGCCTCATTTGGTTCTAGTGGACAAGACGAAAAGGCAAGCCTATCTGGTGAACATAGCCGTACCGAACACGAAATATCTTGAAGAGAAGAATGTCAAGAAGATCCCATAACAATAACACACGCTGGTTGAAAGCATCAAGAGACAGTGGTATACGGACCATGTGAGAATCGTAAGAGCGTAGGCTTCCGCGGCCGGAGTCAGTATTTACTTGGCTGTCCGGGTGACGCCCACAGGCATTACGCCCTCAGGAAGGTCGCAGTATGGCGTCCGAAACGTCGGCACCTTCGCCATGGACGTGGCGTCACCCGTACAGCCAAGTAAATACATGTGAGAATCATCCCCACTGTTTTCTCTAGCACCACAGAGATCTGAAGATTAATCTGAATATTTATAGGACTATGCAGAAGGCAGCAGTCATATCAACAACTAGAATAGCTCGCACGTTTATGGGGATAGGATATATGTGAATTCCTAACAAAGACGTTGATAAATACGCTTTTCTCATGTATATCCTGTGTATTATTTACCCTTATGATAAAAGAAAATAAAGGTATATGAATAATAATAATAATAATAATAATAATAATAATAATAATAATAATAACGATAAAAGCAATGATGATAATAACGATGAGGGTACCTCTGCGCCTCCTTGTCCTGGCCGGCGAAGGCGGCGACGGTGCGAATGGCGGAGAGCGTCTCCTCGACGGCGGCGCCCGCCGAGCCGTACGCCTCCTGCTCGCGCGCCGCCAGGCTGCTCTGGACCTTGGAGACGAGCGCCGTCGCCACGATGATGACGGGCGCGCACGACAGCACCACCAGCGTCAGCTCCCAGCCGTACAGCAGCGACATGATCACCGACGACACGAACGACACCACCAGGAACATGAACATCCCCAGCTTCTCGCCGATGCCGTCCTGCATCTTGTCCAGGTCTCTGCCGGGTTACGCACGCGTTACGCAGCAAACGTATGAACCGTGAAAAAAAAACGAGGCGTCCTCCGGAAGAAGGACCTACGTACAAAATGACTGGTTTGAGAAAAAACTATTTGTTTGCCTATTATACATTTATCTCATATTATGCTTTGGATTTTAAATTATCAGTAAAGCAAATAAGATCCCTACCATTTTAGGAATTAATATATCTGTTGAAGTTGACAAAATAATATTTATTTTTTATGAAACCTATAGACCCTTCTCCGAACGTCTCCACTAATTTTGAAATAATTATTTTTATTATTAAAACTATTTATAAACAATTAATCTTAAAAAAGCAACAATTTTTTGAAACAATTAGGGGAAGTAATCCCACTAGAGCAGTCTGCTTTCTAGAGTACTCAGGGATATACCGTTGTATAGTTCTATATGAAGGATTCACATGAAAAGCTTCTAATTTAGAATACCTAATTAATGTAAAGAAAGTGACAGTATCTGTGAAATTCATACCACTAGATCCATATTCAGTAAATTCATACTACTAGAGATTACGATAGATCCAATATCAGTAGATTCATAACGTGGAAAATTGTTCTCCCTCTTTTCCTAAAGCAAACTACGGAAAATTCTAAATTTCGTCACTAGATAGCTGTCTTTGTCACTCTTGTAATATATTTAAATCTTTACTAGGAAAAAGTTTGAACACAACAGTAATATCACGGACGGATTTCTGAATTTTGAAAGGAGGATATAGTATTCCTTTATTACATTCTCAATCGATTATTATGTAGGGAGCCTAGAAGCTAGAGACATTTGGTTTCAAAAAATTAAAAACATACACCTCAAAGGCATTTGACTGATGCGACATTTACATTAAAATAAGGCCTCTTAAGAGGAAAAAACGTTAAAAATAACCTCACAGAAAATTATGTTATTCACATTTCTGACAAGAAACTGACTCAAATACTGATAGCGAAATAGTATGGACATTCTTTTTACAAATTTTGAAAAGAATCAACACGGAAAAACACGTTTGGTTTTACCGTCCAGAGAGCAGACGCCTGTAAAAGTGTAACGCCCAACGTCAACATTCCCTTTGCGATGCTGCGGAGTTTTCCGTTTCATTCTCTTTACATTTGTGTGTAACGATGTCACTAAACACTAAGTGGTCACTTACTCTGTGAGACGACTGGCGAAGGAGGAGGGATCCCGCGTGTCGAACCAAGCCATCTCCTGGCGCAGCACGGCGCGAAGAAACAGCCTGCGCACTCGCCCCACCTGCGCACGAAAAGCTTTAATCCAAGGGCGAAATAACCGATAGGAAAATATGAAGTATAAAAAAAGTGAACTGAAAAAGAATCGAAGAGTAAAAACAGAAAAGAATTTAAATATTTTTATCAAAGGGTCTGATAATCTTGATAATTTTTTTTTTTTTTTGTATTTTTTCAATTCCTTTTCACCTTCGACGACTGTATACCCTCCTTTTATCCAAAGCGCTTCTTTCATAAATAGTACGCAGCACTAAATAGAATTAAGTAAAGTAACAATTTTTTAAGACCTAATCAGAAGTGACTCTCTGTCTTATCTTGTTCTGAAAGCCCAGGTACTGCTTTACAGACGATTTTAGGTTTTAGCAAGAACTTTTTATTATAACTATAAAAATTACATTTTTTTAACTAAATTGGAGCAGTCACTGTTGCAATATTTTGCTTAAAGAGCAAGTCCAGTTTGTAGTAGGCAGTAACTTCTCAAAATGTTTAGCTAAGCGGAACGAATGAAATACAAAATATTCACTATAAGGTACAACTTCATCACAATTTTTATCATTTTTGAGATCAAATTCTGTATCAACTTTATTCGAACACATTTCACGGGTTCATCTACTACCACAGCCTACTGCTAAGTATTGAAGTTTCTCGGGGAATCCCTAGCACGTTGCGCGAGCCAGGTCAAGGTGATTTGTATGGTCTGCAAACACACCTGTCGGTGAGCCGAGTAGTTGAGGCAGGTGACGCAGCAAACGGCGATGGTGAACTGCACTGCGGCCAAGCAGACGCCGCCCAGCCCGAATGCCGCCGAGTCCTCCAGCAGGGCCTCGCGTCGCTCCTCCCAGCTGGCGTTCACCCTGCGCACGCACGCGCGGGTTAGTGAATGCGTGTTTTTTTTAAATTTTTTATTTAATGTCGCATTAACAACTAGGTCATTAGCGACCACTACTGTATTTAACGTTATGGTAACTATGAAGATAAAATGATATGGTGATGATATGGGGTGAAGAAATACAACCATGCCCGAGGCGGGACTCGAAACCGCGATCATTCAGTTCGAGATCACTACGACACTACTGCCTCACAATGCGTGTTTTGTTTATAAGCTATATTCTGTTTACGTAAAAAAGCACAACGAAGTGCGACGTCGGGAAGGCTTAAATTACATTACCATCTATCATCCGTTCATCCCAAGAAATATCCTGTTGTAAACAAATGCACGTGTGTTAGGATGATTCTCATTGGTTTGCAGTGTTCTGCTGCGGTCGGGATCCTGACGCTAACGTAAATAGTTCTCTGTATAAGAACTCGTTTATCTTCCATCGGACGTTAAATTAACCTTGCGTCAAAATCATTGCAACGGTTTTGAGACCATTGTAAACTGAATATTTGGCATATCAATTTATACAAATAAGGCATATAAGGCAATCAATTTATGCAAATAATTGACAACATCCTGTTATTGCCAACCACTTCCTGAAGCAGAATCATTGTAAATATAGTAGTTGCATGACCATGACATTTGCATGACAGCTCTTATTTATTTTGAATTGGCGGGTATGCTGTTCGTGTAATCCAAAGTAGTGCACTAGGAGTTGTCCAGTCAAAGGCGTAGTGCGACGCAAAGATTTCTTCGGTTTGTTTACATCAGATTTTTTCTTACGGTGAACGGATAATAGATACACAGGATGTGTGATGTCAACATTCACTCTACTGATCGTCTATTACAGCTTAATGAGTGTCGGTTGCTATTTGCACAAAACCTGGTTACCCATATTTCAATTTAACTAAAACGTTAACTGTCTGTAATTTCTATTAAATTTTCTTTAAATATTGTACAACAAATAAAAACTGTTCGACTCTGGATGGAATTGAACCATTGATTGCTTGAGCGTCAACTGCTACGTTCATTTAAGGTCGTTAGTGTAGTGCATGGTTTTATCGCGGGATGTGACGGTAATCTTCCCCCACAGGATGTCGATATCCAGCACCGACCTACGACAGCTTGCAAGGGTTTTCCCCAACCAGGTATTTCCCAGCAGCGTGGCATCATTCCAGCCGGAACAAGCTCTAAGCTCCCGACAAGTGTAATAGTGTAGTGCCTATGAGTGTAGGTGTGTGTAAGTAAGGGGTAAGAATACGACAGGGGGGAGGAAGCAAAGATCGCGCACGATCCGTAGTCCGTTTGTTCGTAGGATAGTGCACCGGCATTCGCCTGGTGTTGATCGGAGAAACCACGGCAAAATACCGATCTGAGTAGCCGGTTGCGTGTTAGTGAATGCATCTATTGTTTATGATATTTTCTGTTTACGTAAAAATGAGTACAAGTGCGACGCGCAAATGCATATCATGCGTAACATCAGTATTCGCTCTATTAATCACCTATTACAACTTAATGACTATCAGTTGTCATTTATAAAAAACACGATTACTCATTTTTGGTATTAACTAATACATTAAATTTAAATTCCATGAAATGTGTTTTAAAAAATGGTACAACGGATTTTAAAAAAAGTGCACATTCTCAAGGAAATTGAATCGTGTTTAATAGTTGCACGAGACGTCAGTAATTGGATACTTCTTGAATCCGCCTGTCTTAATAAATGAGTATTTTGAGAATATTTTCGTGTCTTGGCATTAAACGGGTTTAAAATTACATAACAATAGTAAATCAAAACTTTTAAACAAAGAAAAAACAATTTACATTAATACGCGTAAAATCAAAACTTACAACACTCGACCTCCGCCGAAGATCCATAGCAGAGAGGTTGGAGTGGAAGTGATGTTGTCCATGTTGCGGTCCACTAACAACGTGGTAAACTCTCCGTACAGAATGATGATGACAGGCTGACCCAGACCGGTTAAAACACCAAGCAACAGCCCCAAAGCCACCAGAGCCCTTTCGCATCCCGTCGCATAACGGAACTGTAAATGTACAGTCAATGTGATGTAGTCCGCCATTCGAATCAGACTAGGTGTAATGTACTCTCCTCCCGAACTCCAAAAGGAGTTCTGGCTTTTCTCTTAGTCTGAGGTGAAAATTAACAGCATAATTAGAGCAATGGATGTAAAAAAGCTGCAATTTTTTTAAAAATATGACAAATGTATGTAATGAGATCCTGAATATCCCCTTCCTTTGGGAAAATAGTTATTGTAGAACAAGTATTTTGAATATCGAAAAATGGACGTTGAAATAACAATAGTGCTCTCCTCTGCTCAAAATCTCAAATGATCACAGTAAGTGGCTCAAAACAGACAAATTGAGAGAGAAAAATAAGTAAAACTGCAATTCAATTGGAACAAAAATATCAAAATATACAATATTTCTCATTATATCTTACACGTAAGAGATTGTAACCCCTTCCCTGAAACAGAATGAATCCGTCAACAAATCTTACAGTTTAACTAATTTCGAAGTACAAGAATAGGGTTTCAGATTGCTCAAAAACAAATATAGTAAATTTATTTACGATTCTGAATCAATCACAGAATTGTATTCCGCAGAGAAAGTTAGAAAAATTGCTGGTAAGCGATAACATTATCCTCTCACATCACATTTTAGTCATTGCACAATTTAACCGACAGAAAGAAGAAGACAAAAGGCAGATATAAGTTGTTTATTCTCAATATAAACTGACCCTGACTATAAGAAAAATAACTTTCGGCCCATGATTGAGTTTCGTACTAGATGACTTATTTCCATTGCTCATTTCAACATTGCTCAATTTCATTATGGTACTGTAATGCAGATGTGTCGAGGAGTCATGCTGTTATTTGCTTTGGATGCGTCCACCATTGCATACGGTGTTAGAAAAGGTAACCATCAGAACGTTTTTAGACCCTAGCATTTTGAGGGGAGCGTTCCATAGGTCTAGCACTTTAGATTGGAATGTCATTCTTTGACCACATAGACATTATCTTCGATTTCATTTTACTTTTTTAGCTAATCGTAATACATTAGGTACATGTTTTTCGAGATTATTTGTACGAGTACTATTACACCGTATTACTAGCTTATAGTATTACACAATACATTGCTATTTAAATAAAATCAACAAAATACCAAAAGGAAAATTAACACAGTGGTTACAACAGAAAACAGAAAATACAAATTATTCATCCCCCACGTAATCTAAAAATGGAGTTTAACTTTATTTTACACATTAATTCATCAACCTGTACAATAATGAACAATATGCCTTTTTCTGCGTCTCATTCTCAACTGAAAAAAGAGTCCTTACAAGGATTGAGTTTTAGTAAATATTTGAGTGGTCATGCACAATATTTCCTGCTTATATTTGCTAATAGAAAACATATCACATGATTTATAGACTTCTAGTAATGTAGGGGAAGTAAGTAAAGTGTGGTAAAGTACGGGAATGTTCCCGAATTTGGACTCTGTCGCCTAAATAGAGCCACCCCCACAGTTTTAAGCATAAGAACATTTGTATCACACAAATTGGCTCTAATGTAGGGGTTGTCAACGGTTGTCGGAATTGACCTCCTGAGGGTCGAAGAAAATTTGAATGGGATCAATGATGATCAAGGGATCGATTGGGGAACTATAGCCGAGTTTCAACCGATGATTGATATGTTTGATTAAGATTCCATCGGTTACAAAAATATTTAATTAATTTGATCATTAATTATTTTTTGTTATAGATCAACCAAATTATTATTATTATTATTATTATTATTATTATTATTATAAATTACAAATTAGCTTCTCTTTCGTTTCTTCGGAAGAGGGGCGCAGCTACACTGGTAGAATTGGTGCTCTGCACCCATTCCCGGAAGGGGCCCTTTTCTTCTTTGCAACAGCCATATTATTATACCAATAAGATTTAAAACTCTCTAATTTCACTTATATGATAGGGGCCCCATTTCGATTTTCTGCATCGGATAATCCCGTAACGCAACTGCTAGGGAAGTTAGGAAAATTCAAGTTATAACACTGTTCAGATAACAAATTTATAGCGGAAGAACTTACTACCTGCAATAGGCACTGGAGAAATGTTGCGGACAGTTAAAACAAGCGTAACCATTCCATTACAAAGAAGATTCGAAATATAGCTACTCAGACGCGAAGGCGTCTTCGATATTTACCACAATATCGGTGAATGAATTTGTTATCGTTAAGATAAGTATGTCCAATTCTATCGATATAATATAATTTGGAAAATATACATTACGCAATCTATATTATAGGGGATCGATGGAGACAACAATTCTTTTAAAAGGGATCGAATACGAAAAAGATTGGGAAACCCTGTTCTAACGCGTAGAAGCCCTGCCATGAGATAGTCAGTTTTTAGTGGCAATCATCTTATAGATCAGGATTATTGTTATCAGTGTAGTCCGAATCTCGCCTCCTATTTTAATCTTAAAGAAATCTATGCACGGTCGGCATCACGCGTATCACAGTAATGCAGCATTGCAAGTGGCTGTACAACTTTGGTAACTATCCCAGGCGGCAGACATACGAGACAGGGATATAAGTGATGATCCCACGGAGTGGCAACATTTGTCATTTGACATTTAATGTCTCAATTCTAGTGGTGATTATGAGGGAAAACAATGCAACATGTGGTGTAAATGCTACAATAAAGTTTTCCCACAAATTGTGATTTTTTTGTGAACGTTTTTGGGAATAATACTTTCTGGATACTTTACAGATAGTCTAATAAAATATAGGGCAAAATCGTAATAAATAATCTTCTTGAGATTATTTATGAACACAGACAAAACAACGGAATTAAAATGCTCAGCAGGACTGTTGAGAAGTTCTCATAAAGCGTCCGAAATCTATTACAAGAAGCAGAAAATCATGAACACCATATTTAACTAGCAGACCATGCAAACAACAACAACAAGGACAACCGAAAAAGGCAAGGAAACATGTTTCAAGAAAATAGGAATAGAAAGTTACATTTCTGTTCATCAAGATCGCAATGATAATCCTAATGTTGAATATATGTGGTTTTCAATGATATTTAGTAATGGAAAGTAAGACGATGCAATAGCGTGTCTGGAATGCAGATGATTTGTTTCACACTTGGTGTGTTAAAATGCAACTTAGCACTAAGAAACTTGTTTGCATAAATTGCAGAGATGAAAAGTAATGTTTCTGTAAGATCCATTTTAGTTGGTCATTTTTTTCTCATATCTTTTTTCTTAGAAGGGTTTTTATAATAAATGAAAAATATTATATAATGTGAATTACACATTACATTTCTCCCTCTTCGACTCGTATAAGAAACAACGTATCTCATTCTCAAACTAATAAGCATTTACGATACAGTTACCTCTATTTCAGTGTTAGGATGTATAATTGATTACAAGGAATTAAAATTCTCCTTTAGTTAGGTTCCATGTTGCATCGTGAGGACTTCTGAATTCGCAGTATGCTGAGAGATGTTCCCATCAGCTTGTATTATGAGATGGTAAGACACATGCTGAAGGGACATTGGCGAATCATACAGTGATTGAATTACGGTGAGAGACTTTAAGAACTATTCAGACTCACTATATACAGTATGTATATACATATTTAAAATTTTAAGCTCAATTTCTCAGGAAAACCTTAGGTCTCTCTTCTTAGATTTATTAACAAAATTAATGATTAATTTTTGTTTTTAATGAAACTTTTTAAATTCTTCTTCAAGAATATAATTTTCAACATAATGTACTCACCAATGAAAAGTATGGAACGGAAATGACTTTCTCATCATCCTTCCCAGGTGCAGGATCGGGGGCAGAGTTCTTGTCGACTTCTTTGATATTAACTTCCTCGAAATCGTTGACATCGTTGTTGTTGCTGAAGTCTTTGATGCCATTCACACCAGTAAATCCGTTGAAGCCATTAGTAATGCTCCTGCACATATAACCCGTTCGGTTTTAACAAGATTATAAAATAATTCGAACTTTAACTTAAAAGATATAAATGCTTAAAAAAAGGAATACATCCTTTCTCCAAGGAAACAAAAGTGCTAAAAGCTTCAAGTTTAAAACAGGTTTAATATAGAACAAAGGGGAAAACTATCGGAGAAACAATGTTTTTTAGGGCATGGCTAAGAATTAGCAACATACATTAAGATTAAAGCTCTCTGAAAAGTATATTTCCTTTAAAATAATGAGAAATATGTTATTGTACAGTAATAATTTCCTATGAAGTCTTAGGAGTAATACGTAGAAGTTCAGAATATGAGAAGCAGAAACAAGCATTATTTGGACAATATTAAATTAACGAACACATTACAAATTACACATTCATTCAAAGAAATGAATGAACTAACATTTTCTTAAATTGTTTACAACTTTGTGGAATGTAATAAACTTTACGAGACTTTCAGAAGACATTTGAATTTTGATGAAGTCTCTTCTTTAATCCAGGGCATCGCAAGTTAACATCTATAATACATATCTCTTTATAATAGTCGTAATGATTTATTATGATGAATGAATTAAATGTGTATCGTCTGTCAGAATCTTTATTTTTCGTTCAGCGGCCAGGCTCAGAACCATCCACCACTTACCTCCACATTGGTATAAGCCTCACACGCAGCTGACGGACCAGCTGACGACGCAATAACACAATCAAAATAATTTGAGATTCTACTCTTAGTTTTCCTAGTTTTTCTTCTTTCGAAAACAATAACTTTCTGGATGTTTTTCACTTATTTCTCTCCGAGATACTTTTATTGTCGCATTGACAGGTACAATCTTGGAAACATAAAATTTCGCGTCGAAAATGCCTTGGCCCGAGAGGTTGATGGCGCTGGACATCCCT